GCAGCAGCAGCAGCAGCGGCAGCAGCAGCACTGCAACCAACAGCAGCAGCAGTGCAGGCACGGACAGAGGCACCGCCGGCAGCATAACTTCGAACTTCATCGGTGGCGACGGCGACTTCGCCTCAGCGCATCCGATAGCGGCGGCCAGTGAAGCGGGCCCTGACAGCAGCGGCGACGGCAGCGGCGGTGGGGGCGGCGGCGACAGCAGCAGCGATGCAGCCCCGCTGGTTGCTCCCGAAATGGCAGAGGTTGCGGCGCTGGCGGTGGGCCGCGCGGGCAGCAGCAGAGGGCCCAGTGGCGGGGGCAGCGGCACCATAAGCACGCTGCCGATGCCTAACTGGCCGGCCAGCGCGAGCGGCAACGGCGCCGGCGAGGCGTCACGCCGCATATCGCAGCAGCAGCAGCAGCAGCAGCAGGTGCCGCACCAGCAGCAGTATCACCTCCAGCAGCCCGTGCCGCAGCAGCAGCCCGTGGCGCCGCCGGCAGTCGCCGCGGAGGCGGCGCCTGCGGCCAGCGAGACGCCGGAGCAGGCCGCCGCGCGCGCGCGCGCGGAGGGCCTGGTGCTCGCGGCGGCGCAGCTGCAGCGGCTGGCGGCGCGGCGGCTTTCGGGCCACGTGCGGACGGGGGAGACGCAGCTGCTGCTGCACTACCCGGAGGGGGGGGAGGGCGCGGTGGCGACGATGCTGGCGGGGTGGCTGCTGTGGTTCATGGGGCTGGACCTGGAGGAGGCGTCCGCGGCCGCTGACGTGGCGGTGGGGGCGCCGCCCGACGCGGTGAGGCGCCAGGGAGGGGCCCACCGCGGCGGCCGGGGCCGTCGCCGCTGCTGCGCTAGGGTCAGGGGTTCCCTGCGTTGTCGAGCGTGAGGGGTCGCAGCTGGGCGGGGTGCTTCATGAGGGAGGCCCGAGCAGAAGCGACTCAGGGCTCTGGCAGGAGCCAGCACTGCTTGAGTATCATCTAGTGAGCTCCATGCCCCTGACCTCATGTCGCCTCGCTGGCCCGAAATCAACATGCGGGGAATCCACGCCCCCCAGGAGCTGCTGCAGTCGGCGGCGGAGCTGCTGGTGGCACGGGCGCGCGCGCGCTTCAGCCGCATCGTGCTCGTGTGGCCGTACGGCGGCATGAGCGCTGATGTGTCTGGCGAGCTGGTCGGCGGCTGGGGGGAGAAGGTCCCGATGCGCCGCTGCATGAGCCCCGCCGGCTGCAGGGGCGCCGCAAGGGGTGGGTCTCGGGCCTCGCTCCCAACCCTGCAGGGCTCTGTGCGCGCTTGCATGGGTGTCGAGCATCGCTGAAGGAGGGGCCGCGGTGTCTGCTTTGATCATCATCCTGGCAGCTGCGCTGCCCCTTATCGCCGCCCTGCCTGTCGTACCTCATCTGTCCGCACAGCATGCAGCACATACAAGACTACCCCTCTCAATTGCAGACACACACACGCGCGCACGCGCACACACACGCACACACACGCGCGCACACACACACACACACACACACA